GCAGGTACAGGGGCCCAAGGACTTGGGCCATCTTCTACTGCTTTCCCAGCCATAGCAGAGAGCTGGATTGGAAGTGGAGCGTTTGGGACTCAAACCAGTGTCCATATAGGATGCTGGCACTACAGGTGACGGCTTTATCTGCTATGCCACAGTGCAGGCCCTGATAGATGCATATTTAAAACTTGGAGGTAGAATCCAGGACTTATTGGTCTGATGTGGAATATGGAAAAGGGCTGAGAAAGATACCCTAGTTTTGACCTCAGCAGCTGGTGGAGGGGCATTTACATTGGTGGGTAGTGGATTTATTAAATTTACAGATGTCTTTTGGTAGTGGCAGGTTGTAACTAGCAGTATGCAAAAGCAGACTGAGTATTTATGTAATGTTCTTGTTTGTTTGTTTCTCCCTCACCTCATTCCCAGTGCATATTTTTCAAATAATAAGTTTATAACATGTTAGTTATTTTTCACTTGAGAGTAAATGGTGAAGTTGATTTGAATTATAAGCAAAAATCTAATAATAAGGCTCAGTAGTTGCCAGTCAGACTTGGCACTATCATTTTTGTAAAATGAAGTTATCAAGGCCCAACATGAACTGTATTGTCTTTCTGAGATTCTTTTTTTTTTTTTTTAAAGATTTATTTATTTGAGAGGTAGAATTGCAAGGAGAGGGAGAGACAGAAAGGTCTTCCATCTGCAGGTTCACGGCTTCTTTCATTTTTCAGAGGTAGTCTAGTGTTATCACTGAAAGTGTGACCTCTGAAGCCAAAATGCTTCATCAGTGCCATGGTTTTAATTATTCTATATTAAAATAAGTCATACTAGAGGAGGATGTTTGGATAAGCAGGCTGCCTGTGGAATGCCTGCATCCTATATGAGAGTGCCTAGGTTCAAGTCTCAGTTCCTCTCCAGGTTCTAATTTCTTGCTAATGCTCACCCTGGGAGGCACACGTTGACAGCTCAAGTGCTTGAGTCTCTGCCATCTATTCAGGAGGACCTGGATTGTGTTCTTGTCTCTGCTTCTCAAATAAATAAGTAAAAATTTTAAAATGTGTTAATAATATGGTAGAGATAATCACCACACCCTGATATTCTCTCCCTTTTTCCTTTCCTCCAAAAGGTGGGTCTTCTGGCTTTTACTCTACCATGTAAATTTCAGAAATAGTTAAAAAAAAAACACAAGAAATAGCTTGTCCAAATTCCGAAAAAAAGGAAAAAAAAATTAAGAATTTAGGTTGATTTGGATTAAATATAGTTTACTGATGATAAAATTGACATTTTTATTGATCATAAAACTGGCATTTTTACTTTTTAAAAAGATTATTATTATTATTATTGAAAGGCAGAGTGACAGAGAGAAGGGAGCGAGAGGCACTGAGAATCTTTTCCAGGTAACTGCAAGAGCCAGGTTTAGGCCAGGCTAAAACCGGAAGTCAGGAACTCCAAGTACTTGGACTATATTCTGCTTCCCTCTCAGGCACATTACCAGGAAGCTAAATCAGAAGCAGAGCAACCAGGACTCTAACTGGAACTCTGATATAGGATATCAGTACTATAATAAGCACATATGCCACATCATCAACCCCTTTACTGTTTTTTGTCTTTCTATCCATTAAAATGGGATTTTTGTTAAGGTTTTTGTTCATACCTTTAAAAAATTATTTTTGGAAAGTCAGAGTTACAGAGAGAAGGAGACAGAGATCTTCCATCCATTGGTTCACCCTCCAAATGACCACAATGGCCAGGGATGGGCCAGGCTGAAGCCAGGAGACTGAAGCTTCTTCTGGGTCTCCCACGTGGGTGGCAGGGGCCCAAACACTGGGGCCATCTTGTGCTGCTTTCTTGCACATTAGCAGGGTGCTGGATCAGAAATAGAGCAGCTAGGACTTGAATTGGTGCCCATATGGGATGCTGGTGCTGCAGATATGGGCTTAACCCACTCTGTTCCAGCTCTGGCCCCTGTGTCTATTAATAGTTTAATTTTTCTCTATGTATTACATGTTGCATAATCTTTTCCCAAGTACTTTCTTTCTGTTATTTCAAATGGTTTTCTTTTATTTTTAAGATTTATTTGAAAGAGCAACAGAGAAAGAAAGAAAAAGAGGGGGGAAGGGGAGAGGGAGAGAAAGATATGAGATGGCTAGTATCACAAGTGGTAGCTTAACCCTCGAGCCACAATGCTCGCCCTTTAAATGGTTTCCTATTTTTTAGAGAATTAAATAACTACTGGTTGCTAATCTATAATCAGTTGATTGATAAATATTTATCTTCTATCCAGCAACTTTGTTTTTAATTCTATGATTTATCTGTGAGTTCTTTTGGATTTTCTCAGTGCTCAGTCCACCAACTTGCATATTATGGCTTCGTTTCTTCCTTTCAGATCTTCATATTCCTCAGACACACCCTCCATTCCCCTTTAGCTTATTGCAATGACTAGCACCGCTGCACATTGTCAGTAGAGGTGATGATGGATGGCACCTGTCTGTTGGCCTACAAGGTCCTCACCTCCAGTGCCTTTCACCTTGGCTCATCCTGTCCTTGAGGCCTTCTAACACACCAGGTATACTCTCACCTCAGTCTTTGCATTTGTTTATTGGTGAGTAGGAGGGCACTTCTTCTAGATTCTTGCCAGGTTCCCTTCTTTTAGGTCTTCACTCAGATACCACCTTTGCAGTGATGGCTTTCCTTAGAACATTTTCATCACTCTGGTGATATACCTTTACCTACTTGCTATTCATCTCGTCCCCACCACCTAACCCAGGCAACCATTAATTTGTGTCCATAGATTTGCCTATTTGGGTATTGTGCATTAATAGACTCATACTGTTTATGTCATGTCTTACTGATTTCACAAAGCAAGGGCCTCAACTGTGCTCGACCATGAATCGATACTTCAGTGCTATTTATGACTGAGTAACTTTCCATCATATGGATGTACTAGAATATATTTAATCCATGCATCAATTGATGGATATTAGGTAGTTTGCAATTTTTTGTTATGAATAATCCTAGCCACGTGTCATAAAGAGTTACTCTTCCTCTCCTCTCCAATGATATACTTCCAAGTCCCTCCCTGCTTTATTTTTTCTCTCTACTGCTATCCAGCATACTGGGTATTACTTAGGTATCTTGTGTATTGTTTGTCTCCACCAGAATCTAAGTTCCACAACAGCAGATACTTTTGTTTCAAACTTCAGATCCTGGGACTGTGTCTGTATATAGTAGGCAATCAATAAACATTTGTTGAATTAATAAAGGCAGCATTTGATGAATTGGGTATTTACTGTGCTCTGTGCTAAGAAATAGTTTATGATTTAAATGGTTTGATATAACCTTCTCTGTGAGAATTCGGGATGTTTCAGGGAGCATTCCAGAGATTACTGTAAGTTGTAGGGGTTTTGTCCTGTTGGTGGCAGCTTCCTCATTCACTGTCAGTGCAGTGATTACTCTGGCTCAGCATCATATGGTCTAGGCATGGCATCACTTGGCATACGATATGATGACTTGTCCTGGAAGGAGGCTTGTCCTGCTTAGGCTGTCAGTTCCTAAGTGAAGCCTACATTTCGGGGACATTTTTCTTGTGTGTATGTGTTGTGATCTGATAAATGAAGTTTTCTGATGAGGCAGTGTCCAAATAAGGTAATAAAGTGCCATCGGGACTGGTATTGTGGTGCAGTGCACTATGATGCCATTTGTGGTGCTGGCATCTCATAGGCTTGGCTGCTCCACTTCCAGTCCAGCTCCATGCTATGTGCCTTGGAAAGCAATTGAGGATGGGTCAAGTACTTGGGCCCCCTGCTACCCATGTGTGAGACCCAGATGGAGGTCTGGCCTCTGATTTTGGCCTGGATTAGCTCTGGCTATTGAAGCCATTTGGGAAATGAACCAGCAGTTGGAAGATCTCTCTCTCAGCCTTTCAAATCAAAAAATCTGGAGCCAGAGCTGTGGCATAGTGGGTATTTGCAGTGCTGGCATCCTGTATGGGCACTGGTTTGAGTCCTGGCTGCTTAGCTCCCTGCTAAAGTCCTTGGGAAAGCAGCAGAAGATGGCCGGAGTACTTGGGCCCCTGCACCCATATGGGAGGCACGAAAGAGGCTTCTGGCTCCTGGCCTCAGATTGGCCCAGCTCTGGCCATTGTGACCATTTGGGGAGTGAACCAGTGGATGGAAGATTTTTCTTTTTTTCCTCTCTCTCTGTAACTCTGTCTTTCAAATAAATAAATAAATCTTTAAAAAAAATCAAATCTAAAAAAAAAAAAAAAAGAAACTGAAGTCCATTCTGAGATATGCTGTTTTTTTCTGAGGTTTCAGAGTAAAAGCTGCCATTTTAAAGTATGCATTAAGAAGCCTACTGTTTAAAGTGGTGATTTTCCATGGAGCAGGGGCATATTTGGCAGTCTAGATGCTTGTGGTTGTCACTTCTAAAGAGTGGTGCTGCTAGCATCTAGTGGCATGTAGCTGAAGATACTGTTAAACATCATGCAGTGCACAGAACAGCCCTACAATGAGGACCTGTACTGTCCAAGCTGTCATTAGTGTCCAGGCTGAGAAATCTCTAGTTTAAAGGAATATACAGTTTATTCTTTTGTAGACAGGATGCTAATAAAAAGTACTCATCTTTATGGTAAGTCAGATTGTGTATGCTTTTAATTTTGTTCATTACTAAGTGAAAAGTAGACAATGTGACCTCACCGCCTGATCCTGTGACACATTTTTGGAGTATAGGAAAAAAGAAGATTGAGTACATTGTGTACTTTTTGATTTCTTCTTTCATCCCTTTTGATTTCTTCTTTCATCTGTATTTAGATTTGATGATCTGCTAGTGTTGATTACTGTTTGGTCGTTTCCAGGTTTCTTTTTCCTTATGGAACAAAAGTAGAATTTAGATGACCATAAAGTACCTCTAAATAAACAAAAATGAGAAATTACTTTCCATTTATGTGATTTTATCTGAAATGTTTTCTCTTTAATGTTTTATCAAGTACTGATTTTTTTTCGATGCAGATAAATACTGAAGAACATGTGGATGCAACTGATCAGGAGGTTATCTTGTGGGATCGTAAGATTCCTGAGGATATACTGAAGGAAATAACTACCTCTAAAGAGGTACCTGCAGAAAGTGTTACTGTCTGGATTGACCCACTGGATGCCACACAGGAATATACAGGTGATTTTAAAAGAAATCTCAGACTTTAGAGTGCCATTTCATGTTAGAAAATTAGAACTGAAGCAGAGTATGTACATGGTAGTAGATACTTTGCAAGTATCAGAAAATTTTTCCACTTAGATTTTTGCGACAGAAACCTTGATAAATGCAACGTTATGTAAAACATTTGAAGCACATTAGTGAGTCTCAACCTTTTTAAGCCTCAGACCACTCTGTTATGGCATACTCCTGTGGGTATTTCTGGCTCACTGATTCTTAAATGAAGGAACATTTTTATTAGTAGCAACTAAATGGTTTTTCTATTAGATACCTGTTACTGAGAAAATTTATTCAGCCAGAATATAATATTTACCTCAGGTATGGAGAATTTAGGTTATCGCATGTCCGTATGGCCTTGAAATTCACAGTAGTAAATCCTGGGTATTCAGAAAGCAAGTAGGTAGAAAATAGTATTACATTCTCTACCTCCCCTCTCCATTCTTGTTAGCTAGTCCTAGTTCAGTTTTAATTTCTGTGAGTTCTCTGTTGTTGTTACTTACCCTGAGATATCTAATTCTTGTGTTTTCTCTTTTCTCATGGTAAATATGTAAAAGTTACCTGTTTGTTTGTTCTACTATATGGTAAGCTCCCTACGTTCTAGTGTTTATGCACTGAACTTGAACCATCATAAATACTCATCAGTAGTCAACTATCTGGAAATCAAGGAGAAGGCACAAGTAGTATGTGTGTGTGTGTGTGTGTGTATTTGTATATACATATATATGTAAGATATATATACATTTGTATTTGTATGTACATATATACATATATTTGTAAGAAATATATTTGTATATATATGTAAGAGATATATATCTTAAAGTAACTGAAATTATAAGTAATGCATTACAGAAGTGTATAATAAAAATATGGAATATTAAGGAGTTTGTTTATAAAAAGTTTTTCCCTAAATTAGACTGGCCTGGTCATATTATAACATTTAGTGAAGTGGGACTGTTTTAGCTGCCTAATCTGATTTTTAAACTTACTACTGAAACTAAAAATTAATTTATACCTAAAGATGAATACTTAATTATTGTTTATATTATACAGATGAGGAAATTGAATTTAAGTCATTTTCCCAAAGACATGCTGCTAATAATGTAGGTAATCTGCCTATAGAATGAGACCTGCTAGCTACTCCCTTAAACTGGCTATTATGCCTAAACATTGTTTGCTTGAGGATATTGTTTTCCTGAAACTTCCTGCACTTAAAATTTGAATGAAATAAGGTATAACATTGTATCTTGAATTTATGCACATTACTTGACATTTGTCTGTGTGTTGTTTTGTTTTACTTACAGAGGATCTGCGAAAGTATGTCACTACTATGGTGTGCGTAGCTGTAAATGGTAAACCTGTTCTAGGAGTCATACATAAACCCTTTTCTGAATATACAGGTATGACATAGGCAATAGTGTTCAGAAGTTAATGTTATTGAATTTTATTGATACAATTTGCTATCATATCAGAGTCACATGCGTAACTTGTTAATTATTGAAGTCGTTCCATTACCTTAACCCCACCTCTTCCCAAGATACAGTGAAGATTTTCTGATGTGTACTGATAATACATGACAAAGCAGAGCTTTCTGAACTCTGTTTAGGGAACAGATATTGTTGAAAGAAGTGAGACATTCGTAGTGTGTGGGAGGGCACCAGTGGGCACAAACTGCCCTATAGCTGAATTCCTGTTTATCTAATGTTTTTGCTGGGGATGAGGTTCAGGGCTCTTGTACTTTGGATTCTTTGTGGCTGCTGAGAGCCACTCTTGAGTTGCCCTAGCCAAATTGTTGTCATGGGGAAATGAGCTTGATTTTATTATAGTTAAGGGTGTTAGTATCAAAATTGGAGAAGTGGGTTTCACTAAAAAAGCCTCAGGAGTCTGCTTACTCGTCGGATAGGCCTAGACGTCCTCCAGAGCTTCTTCAGACCCTTTTTTCCAGACTCCTTGATGCAGTTATGTTCGATAGCTTTCTCCAGGTAGCATTTCAGATCCAGGGTGGTCACACTGGGAGTGAAGGTATGGAAAGCCATGCCAAGGAGCTTCCCATTCAGCTCAGGAGCAGCTTTGCCCACAGCCTTGCCCATGTCAGCAGATACAGGGACACCATTTTGGTATCACTGCAGCTGTTACATTGCAGTTTGGCAGAGAGGACAGCTATGGTTTTCAGATAGCAGTGATAGGATCAGTTCTGGCCAAGAGTTCACTCCATTTGGATTGTGAGGGAGAGGGAAACAGCAGTGTAAGCAGCATTGCTGACAATCTGAAGGGAATTGTTATACTTTTAAGTGGTAACTCCCATCAGTAATAGAGGGTAAAGATTATGTGGCCCTTGGCTCCACTCTTTTCTGAGATGACAAAATAATAATATCCACTTTGCCAGTGTTGAAAACAGCTCTAAAGACCCGTTATAGTTGATTGAGTAATGCCTCTCCAAATTCACGTCCATCCCTGTATTGATTTCCTATGGTTGCCATCATAATTTAAAAAACAAAAACCAAAAATCAAAAACAAAATCCTCAAACTACACTTTTTTAAAGATTTATTTATTTATTTGAAAGGCAGAGTTAGTGAGAGAGAGAGATCTTCCATCCCTGGTTCACTCCTCAAATGGCTGCCACAGCTGGGCTTGGCCAAAACCAGGAGCCTGGAACTCCATCCAGGACTCCCACATGTGGGCCATCTTCCACTGCTTCCTCAGACACTTTAGTATGGAGCTGGATTGGAGGTGGAGCAGATGGGACTGGAATCATAGCTCATTTGGGATGCTGGCATCACAGTCAGCAGCTTAATCCCACTGTACCACAATGCCAGCCCCAACTCTGTATCTTTAACTGCAGTAGTGTAGGCTCTCACAGTGGAGGGTAGGTGTCTAAAATCAAGGTGTTGGCCAAGCCATGTTTTTTCTGAAACTCTAAAGGATAATCCTTCTGTGTGTTTCTTTTAGCATCTGTTAATTGGCCAGCAGCCCATAGAGTTCCTTGACTTTTGAACATATCGCTTCTCTGCCTCTGTTACCACATGGCTTTCTTTCTGTGTTGTGTGTCTTTGTTCATCTATGTTTCTTCTCTCACTATAATGACACCAGTCATGTTTGGATTAAGGGTTCACCCTACTCCAGTATAACTTCATCTTAACCAATTACATCTGCGATGATCCTGTTTCCAATTAATGTCAGATTCCGAGGTTCTGGGTTAATACTTCAGCGTATCTTTCTGTAGAACAAAACACAGAAAGCTAGGTAAGTTTCAAAATGAAATCACACTGGATTTAAGTAGGCCCTTAAACCAATGAGTGTCCTGTTTTTTAAACAGGAAAAACACAGATATACATAGGTGGGATAAGACAGTATGAGGGTAGAAGCAGGGATTGAATTAGTGCCTTTAATAAACCAAGGATTGTTAGCAGCCTCCAGAAACTAGGCATGAAGTATTAGAATATCTTCTCTCTTGGCCGGTGCCACGGCTCAATAGGCTAATCCTCTGCCTAGCGGCTCCAGCACACCGGGTTCTAGTCCTGGTCAGGGTGCCAGATTCTGTCCAGTTGCCCCTCTTCCAGGCCAGCTCTCTGCTGTGGCCAGGGAGTGCAGTGGAGGATGGCCCAAGTCCTTGGGCCCTGCACCCTATGGGAGACCAGGAAAAAGCACCTGGCTCCTGGCTTCGGATCAGCGTGGTGCGGCAGCCATTGGAGGGTGAACCAATGGCAAAAGGAAGACCTTTCTCTCTGTCTCTCTCTCTCTCACTGTCCACTCTGCCTGTCAAAAATAAAATAAATAAATAAATAAAAAGAATTTCTTCTCTCTCAGAGCCTCTGGAAGGAACCAACCCTGCCAGCACCTGGCTTTCAGACTTCTGGCCTTCAGAACTGTGAGAAAACAATTTCTCTTGTTGTTAGCTGCCACATTTGTGGTAACTTACTGTGGCAGCCCTAGGAAACTAACACACCTGGCATCCTGTTCAGCTGTCATTTATTCCAGCCATCCCCATTGTTTCTCAGGTGTGACCAACACTGCACCAAAAGACCAGTGGTCAAGTTGGAAAGAAACAGAGGGACAAGGTTAAGTTTTGAATGCTGTAAGATTATTTGCTCTGCCAAATAATTGTGGATCCCAAATGCAGGCTGCTCTGAGATGGGCTAAATATATACTTAAGTATTGACTCTGCATTTCAGACTCATATCTGCTAATTGACCTGTATCTCCTTTTCATAATTCAGATGGCTGTTTTTTTAAAAAAATATTTATTTGATAGGCAGAGAGATGGAGAGACAAATAGAGATACCATCTGCTGTTTCATTCCCCAAATGCCTGTGACAACCAGGGAGTGTCCAAGGCTGAAGCTGCAAGTCAGGAACCCAATTCTGATCTCCTGTGTGAATGGTAGGGACCCAACTACTTGAGCCATCATTACTGCCTCCCAGGGTCTACTGGCAGGAGGCTTGAGTCAGGAATCTGAAGCAGAAATGGAACCCAGACACTCCAGTGTGGGATATAAGCATCTTAACCACCATGCCAAACATCTGCCCCTCAGATAGTTTCTGAAGCTGACAGTTTGATAAAGCTGTGAAGGGCTTATAACATTGCTATGATACTGTGCCCTAAGATTAATTGTAGGGGCCAGTGCTGTGGCACAGTAGGTGTGTGCCAGTTCTAGTCCTGGCTGCTCCACTTCTGATCCAGCTCTCTGCTATGGCCTGGGAAAGCAGTAGAAGATGGCCCAAGTCCTTGGGCCCCTGCACCCACGTGGGAGACTGGGAAGAAGCTCCTGGCTCCTGGCTTTGAATAGGCGCAGCTCTGGCCATTGCAGCCATTTGGGGAGTGAAGCAGCGGATGGAAGACCTTTATGTCTGTCCCTCTCACTGTCTGTAGCTCTCTCTCTCAAATAAATAAATGAAATCTTTAAAAAAATAAAATAATTATATGCATATAATTCCTTTTATGACTTATGGGTGATTTTCACATGTTTTCCTTTGATCTTGACAGGGTTAGGGTACAGGTTAGGCTGGTAATTTAAGCTGATTGTAATGTATATCAATGTATAAGAAGTTGAACAAAATGGTTTATTTCTCTGTCCTGTATGTGAGCCGCCCAGGTCAGCTCCCTGACCCCTGGGCATGCAGGTTCTTTGCTGTGCTCTTTCTTCCCTCTCTGTACTATTAAGGATGGCTCGGCACATCCTCTGTATTCCACCAATTGAGAGGGTAGAAAGGGAGACATGGGGGTCATGTCCACTAAGGATTCGAATTGTAATTTATATGCATTACTTCACTTCACATCCCATTGATCAAAACATAGGTAGAACTCAGTCACAAGTGACACTAGGAAATGTAGACTTTGTTGAAATAGTGGCTCATGCAGACTAAACTTCAGGATTTCTGTCACTCAAGAAAAATGGGTAAAGTTGATATTGAAGTATGGCTTTGCTTGTAAACTCAGTGTCACTTATGAGGGAGGAACTCATACTTAAAATTAGTACGTCCACTTTACAGATGAGAAAATGATACGGAAGAACTTAGTGCATTCCTCAAAGTCATCCAGGTAAATTAGTGGCGGAATCAGCCCCAAGATTTTTATGCAGATTAGTGTATCACACTACTTAAGAATTCCATAATTCTTAGTTTTTGTGTCGTATTCAACAATTTGCAATATTTAATGTTTTCTTATTTGAATTTGATAGCTACATGACAGGAAGAGATGTTATCCTTTTTTTTTAGATCAGCAGATGGGTCCAGCAGATAATTTTTTTTTAACTTTATTTAAGTATTTGAAAGAGAGAGAGAGAGAACAAATGTGTGCCCTCCCATATACTGGTTTACTTCCCAAAAGACTGTGTCAGCCAGGAGCCAAGGACTCATATCCTGGTCTACCATGTGAGTGGTAGAGAGCCATCATGACTTTTTCCCAAAGTAAAAGAGTAAGTTGAAGCTCGCCCATTGAATCTCTATATCATCTCATTGACTGGATGTCACGTGGCAAATGGAGCCTGCTACTCCAAAGGTAATTGAGAAACTTGATGAAGAAAATAAAGAAGAAATTGATATTAGGCAGGCAAATAGATTTCACATCATTTAAGTCTTTTTTTCCACATCTAATCATATGAAGGGGGCAGAATAAGGATAATAAAATGCCCATTTTTAAAATACCTTATTCTGTAATAATATGTGCCCAGTACCTCTAGGCTACACACTTTAAAATAAGCACTTAGGAACAAGTTGTTTCCAAAAATGTCTTTCCAAGTTGGTAATAAAGTGCCCATTTTTCTATGATGCAGCTTGCTTGCTTAGTATGCTGGAACATACAAATGCTTGCTAGTCAGCAAACATTCTAAAAGAGTAAGTAGGTCCATAAATGTTTGTGTGGGTGGACCTTCCATCCCTGAATCGAAGACTTGTTTGCCTTG